ATTCCTTAATTAGGGGATATTGGAGTCTCTGGGGAGCAGCTTCAATGGGCACTGCAGGCCAGCCTTGCGCAGCAGCACGTGGAGCGCAGGAAGCCGCTGCCAGAGCCAGAGGAAGTCCCACTGGACCCGCTTCGTGCACAGAAGCCTGTATGGGCCCTGACACATAACAAGAGCCGAGCAGCCATAGTCTGGACAATCCAGTTGCTCGAGGCGCGCCAGAAGTACTTGGAGCGAACAGAGAGCTCCTCCTCCGAAGACCTCGAAGGCAGCACCGGCATCTCAAACATTGCATCCGGGCCACCAAGCAGGAGGAATAGGTACAAACACTCCTGTGGGCAGGTGCACCTTCACACCTTTCCATCCATTCGAAGACTGTTTGCTTTACAGCTGCCTTGGCTTCATTGCCTTTTCTTTGAGCGATTCACTTGGGGTTGAGCTTTACATACTCCTCATCCTGAGGAAGGATGGTTGTACAACACCCTTCTGCATACTATTGAAGTTGCAGAGTGGAGCTCTGCTATCATCCTGTCAGTCATGCTGGGTAATGCGTGGGTCGTTCAAGTCTATGTCAGCCAGCTGCATCAGGATGAGCTTGCTGTGATCATGCCACCTTTGCAAGACCACGTGTGGGTCAGTCTTGGCAGGTCGTTGCTTTGCGAGCTTATGCCTGATGAACAGTTCCAAAAACTACGCTTACTGCGCCATCCCATGTAGTCCTTGTAGTTCTGCAAATTCTATTTCTAGTTCGGAAGATTGTCGCTATTTGCTTCATGCTTATGTTTCTGTCGCTCCTCCGGTTGCATCCCTCGTTAAACGAGAAGGCCCTGCTGTTGAGGTGTGTTCGCTGGCACACAATCCAAGCCCATGCTGAAACAAGGGTTAAGGGATGTTGCAGGTTTAGTTTAGGGTTTAAAGTTGCGGGTTAAGGTGTACCTTAGCTGGGATTAGTAGGGAACTATAAGATATCATAAGTATGGTTGCATTGTTTTAAACCCCAGTGGTGAAGTCCCATGATCCTTTTTATGTAGTGCTTGCAGACCTTGCCCCGACTGCTACTACGGGTTGTGAAGGTTCGACCTTGAACAGTAAAGTTGTTTCGGGGCATGATCTTTCGGCCTTGGCTTAGGATTAGGGTTTAGGGTTAGAGTCTTTACTAGTGTGAGAATATGTAGTGGAACTACATCCTTATTCGTTGAGGCTCCCGTGCCAATGTGTTTTCTTGTCCAGTCGTTGCGGCTCTTGCCGGCATTTGAGTTCAACTTTCTAGCCACGCAGCTAAGCAGCCCGAAACCCTTCAATATGTATGCAGCAAATGTAGACGAGTCTTAGGGTCTCGAATTATTCGCGAACCCAGGGCAGAAGCCACTGGGTATGACCTGTTCGGGCCCATTCGTGGTCATATAAAATCCTGCAACCAGCTCTCACCATCAAACCTTCAAGCCGCAGTCACAAGCCATGAACCCTATACCTTAACGCCCCAAACCCCTTAGCCACCTGTCCATGAGCCAGGAAGAGCCTGAGCTTGTTAACGGTCGCGCTTATCGGCGGTCAGCTCGTCCTAGCTGTGCAGGCTGGGATTTTGAGCAAGTCGGCAGTGAAACCATAGAATGCCGGATATTCAGGACTCGCAACCCTAAATCCTCACGGTTTAAAGTTTCAGAACCCTAAACCCTAAACCCCTAATCCCTAAATCCTCACGGTTTAAGGTTTCAGAACCCTAAACCCTAAACCCCTAAGGTTCAAAGCTAAAGGGTTCCTGAAAGCCTTGGAACTGAGAGCTTCAACGGCACAGCTGTAAGCAGGCGCTTGGGTCCATCCAGAGGACCAGCATCAGTTGCTTGGCTGCAAGATTGGGGCTGAGGGCTTTGAGTTGAGGGGTTAGGATTCAAGGGGTTTAGGGTTTAGGGGTTTAGGATTCAAGGGGTTTAGGGTTTAGGGCACCAAAGCTGAAGCGGTATAGAGCACACACTATTCCATGCAGGTCTTTGCTTACCTGTGGCCCCCAAACCGCAAGAACTAGGAGGTTATGGTGGACCCAGAGACTCCAATATCCCTTAAGTACGCAATATACCACTGAGTATACCACCATAAGTTCTAGTAGGATCCCTAATATGATTTAAGGTATATTCCCTAATTAAGGGATATCGGAGTCTCTGGGAAGCTTAGACTCAGATGTGCTGCTTTGCCTACGCCCTTCTGGAAGAAAGTCTGAACCCTGAGTCCCAAACCCG